GTGCACATGTTCGAACTAGAAGCATGCTGTCTAAATGGATTGGCTTAGCGCATGCAAAAATCTCAGTAGTATTCGTGACGTGGTATCTCCTACACCGGCTGTCAGAGTAACTTTGGTGCTCGCAATATATGGTTAATAAATTGTATGCGGATGGCCACAGTATGACAAACAGCCGGTTTAGCTAGAAAAACGTAGGATATTTTTTTTTCAAAAGGCTACAGTTTTGGCATTACTCGTTTCCTCCAGTCCCATGATTTTGTCCGCTAAATCTGACTGTACTATTGTTTGATTAGTATTCTATTGACAGTTTGCTTAAGAATATCGATACTCATTCGCTATAAATGTGCAAAAATTTGATGTTTTCTGAAAGGCATGCTAAATTAGCGCGCATCCCACTCCTAAGCCCGCGAATGCATTATGCGTCATCGGATCGAATGGTCAGTTTACACGGAGGTTGTTGTAGGGCAAGACAGTGTCTTTTTTTCAGGTTCGCCGCTAAATGTAGTGTTTCCTCAGTGTCGTGTTTCTTTCTGTAATACCATTTAATCATTGACATTTTAGACTTTCGTCTGCAGAACTTCTAGGATTTTCCCGTGCAAAATATATTTGTTGTTGCAGCCTACGTTGTTCAAAATGACAACAACAGAGCAGCTAAAGCGTGCTGAAACTATGGAAGAGGTGCTGCAAATCTTGAAAATAACTGATTATTTACCGAATTTCCAGAGCGCAAACATCGTTCAGGCATCTGCCTTAACACTGCTCAAAGAAGCCGATTTGAAGGTAAGAAATCGACGCGTGTGTAGTACAAGCTGTGCTATAGAGGTAGATTTTGCTGTTCCCACGGAAAAGTAAACAGGAGGGAAGGACCACCAAATTTGGTAACAACCAAAAACTTTTAAAATCTTTGCCTCTATATGTGCATTGTGTTTTGCTCACGTTTGCTTGCATTTATTCGCTTAATTCGACCTTGGAGTTGCTGAATTACGAAGGAATGCCAGATGGTGTTGAGCTAACTTTTGTAATTATCAAGGACATTGGGAAAGCTAACGCGGAGGCATAATATTGGTGGTGGTACCGGGGTGGTCCCTCACGTCAGGTGCAAGTCTTTATGCTTGGAACTGCAGTTTTAGAACTTCAGTAGCCCTGAATTCACTGCATGACAGTTCAGGCAGTAAACTGTTAACGCAGACTGCTTCTTTTTAAACGTGTATTTCGAATTTAAAGAAAACCACGTATAGTTTGATTTGGAAAACAAAACGATTATACATGTTTAGCGTTGCGTTAGCAAAACGAAGGGTTTTCCTAAAGGCACTCCCTTCTCATTTTTATGCGTTTTTGCTGGCTGTAGCGCTGCTATAGCGCTGCTACAGCCAGCAAAAACGCATATTGTCGAGAGGCTGTCTGTGTGTGT